AGGAGGAGGAGGGGGAGGACGTCGGGGACGACGAGGACGAAGACGACAGGAAGAGGAGGAGGAGAAGGAGGAGGAGAAGGAGGAGGAGAAGGAGGGAGGAGGAGGAGGAGGCGGAGGAGGAGGAGGAGGCGGAGGATGAGGAGGCGGAGGAGGAGGAGGAGGACCAGAGTAAACCCAAGAGTCATCAACGATGTTGAAACAAACCCTCCCTCCAAGCTTCCTGGTCACAGGCCCCTGCAACGCTGCATTTCCGCTGAGGGACCTGCCTCGTTGGAAGACAACCGCTCGAAGACCCTGAAGCATGTCAAAACATTGTTCCCGGGATTCTAACGCCACGCGACAACCTGAGTGTTGCGTCCTGACGATCCTGAATCGTGCCAGAGCGCCTTTCCTGGGACTGCAACACCGCGAACAAACGTAACTGCTGCACCTTCATAATCTCAAGTCCTTCTGAACACAACGTTCCTGGTACGTTGACCATGGGAATCCACGAAACTCTTACACATGTTGAAAGCGAAAATGCGCGACACTAAGGCGAGAACCACCTTTTGAAAAGGAACCGCCATCAATTCGCGCAACTCTTGTAACTTTTGAAAACGAATGCACGCGGCGCTATGGCGAGAACAACATGTTCAAAACGACCCGCCATCAATCCGCGTGATGCTTGCAACTGTTGAAAACGAATGTACGCGGCGCCAAGGCGAGAGCCACCTTTCGAAAACCACCCGATCCTTGAAACTCTGGTAAATGTTGAAAACGAATGTGCGCGGCGTCAAGGCGAGAGCCAAATTTTGAAAACCACTCGCCCTCAATCCGTGAAACTATTGCATGTGTTAAAACGAATGTACGCAGCGCTAAGGCGAGAGCAACAGTTTGAAAGCGACCTGCCCTCCATCTGTGCAACTGTAGTCAATGTTTAAGTTCCAGGGTCTTACAATGCGAGGAAATCTCAGGCGAAACACCTGGCCCGCCCTAAAAACTGGCCTCGGGATGCGACAGGGGGAACT